TAGAGGCCTTGCGACGAGCTGATCACACACCCAAGAAGCCCTACCGAATGTGTAAGATTAAGAAAAACCGAAAGTGAACGGAGAAGTTCATGGAGGTAGGCCTAAGACCACTGGGGCTGTAGTGCCAAGAAAAAAAAATCTTCTCTTTACACATCAACCAGTTTTATGAACAACCATATTTTGCTCTGTGAATCCTGTGTAATTTACTGTGTAATTAAACATATATTATGAAGGCATAACTCCATCATTCTTAACCTTGGCACTACATGGAGGAGAAGGGGCAAATCCCCATCACTACCACTATACTCCCAGGGATATAACCCACCGTATGCATTGGATAGGCGGGTGGGTGGGCTGCATAGCTGATCTGAAAGTTAAGGGGAAGATGAAAGTCTTCTATCCCTGCCAAGAATTGAACCCCAGTCATCCAGCCCATAGTCTAGTTCCTATACAGACAGTCTTTGTTTTATGACTCCACAGTTTTTATGTACAGGTGTGAAATGTCTGTGATTCAGAAATGGTGAGTACAACAACCACCATCATCAGTGTGTTGGTTTTCATCATGAACTTCAACCCTCGGCAATCCAATGTCTTGAAAGCAAATAATAAATCTCATGATTTTTTGTTTTAATTGGTATTTTGCTTCAAAATGTACCATTTCTAAGGAAGATAATAATTTTTAGGTTTATTGAAGGAGTAGGCAACTTTGAGTTTCATGAATGCTAAAGATGGCCGCAGTTCCCCTTAATCCTAGTTTTAGATAAGATGTTTGTCTTGAAAACTGTGGTGTTGTTCAGGAATGGTAACCTGTGTAGATGACCAGGGATTGCTGTATAGTGCTTATTTTATAAAATAAAACAATATTTAAATAATAGGTTACTGAAGTCTCTTTCCAAAGTAATATAACAATTATTACATTCTTAACAACATTCATTTAAAATGTATATATATTGGAGGTTAAGAAAGATCCCTCTTTGAAAGTGTATAATGCTTTTCATTTCCAGTTTAGTTTTAAAATCTCACAAATGAGGCTGCTGGGCATGGTGGTGATGTGGTTATTTCATATTTAAACGTTTCCTTTTCATCTTAACTGATTATTTTACATTTAAAGTTTTTCTTTTAATTTTATTGTCAGACTAATAAGATATATAGTTCTGAAGGGCTAAATGTATAATTGTCATTGATTAAAAAATAGTCGAGATGAGCGCTCACCTTGTACTATAAAGACCTGGTTTTACCAAGTATGCTAAATAACTCGGTTAAGTGTTAATATTGTTGGTTGAGGCAATATGCTACAAACTGGAAGGTCACGGGTTCAAGTCCCAATGAGGTCATTGGATTTTTTTCAATGGACATCATCCTTCCGGCTGCATTATGGCCCTGGGATCGACTCAGCCTCTAACAGAAATGAGTATCAAGAATATTCTTGGAATATTCTTGGGGCTAAAGGGTGGCCGGCGTGTAGGGCTTACAACCTTATAACCATCTATGAGCCGATTGTCTAGAAAATGTTGGAACCTGAATGTCTCACAACCCTATGGGCTTCCACTTCCTGTTACAGGGATACCTTTACTTTTTTTTTTTACTTCATAAGTGTCAATATTGTATATTTTTGCTGCCTGTTGCTATAATGTTTCTTTCAGAAAATGCTTCACAGCTTGTCCAATACATAAATATTAAGCTAAGCTGATCTCTGTAATAATCACTGTGACATAAAGGAATCTGAAAGCACAGAGTCAGATATGAGTAGTAATACCAATAATATTGGTAATAAGTAATGTTACTAACAAAATCAACTTCCCTTGATATCAGACTGAAAAATATATTACCATGACAATAAAATCCTACATGAATCCACTCCATGGTGTTAAAATCCCTTCCTTTTAAGTTCATTTTATCTCAATCAGAACAAAAAAAATGATTTTGAAGTTGAGCCTTTATGAGAAGGGATCATATTTTCTTCACATAAAAGAATAGAGCACAGCTCTGAAACAATTCCACCAGCATGTTCTTACAAGTATTTGTGGCTGCAGGAAGAGTGTGCTGGTCCACTGCACGACATAAGTGAAAAGATCAACTCTCACCATCCAGAACTTCATTCTCACCTCTTGCTCTCCATCTTCAAGATGGCAGAAGTAGAGGTGAAAGTTCCTGATACAAATTCAGGTCCACGTATTTCCAACAGTGTCTCCGTTGTTCTCATGCTGTTGTTGAAAGAGTTGCTGGCATCATGACGACTCATGCAAAACGTCCACTAGAATCTACGCTCATACATATCCAACTCTCAACAACTTTCTATTGTGAATGTTATACCTAACAAAGCAGTGAAGTGATCTCAATGCAGAATGCTGTCATATTAGCAATATGAAGTATTCTTTTATTGCCAATGGAGCTTTGAACAACTATTGTAAGTACACAAGAGACATATGAATAGGAAGTTTGTGTTACACTTCATTTCAGTGAAGATATTTCTAACAAAACATATAGCCATTAACTAGAATTGTATCAAGTATTTAAACATTTTATGGACTGAACTTCCATTTATTTAAATCGAGCACTGAATAAATGGAACTACTTTGGAGTTACATGATAAGTGCAATGTATTGTGTCTAAAGTGAGTTACAGTTTGACGATATCTTGCCCTGTCTTCAAGGAGAGAAGATCCTGGATACTTGTTCCTTTGGATACAACTCAAATCAACCAATTCACGAGAAATGTATATCCTTCATAATAAGTGAACTTGTATTTTCGTTTTATTTGATTCTATTTTGGTCTCAAACAAAAACCTGCATCATTGGCATCAGGGTGAATTGCATTTGCGCCATATTATTACCTCTCTCATGCTGGAAGAATACCACTTTTTAAAATTGCCCTAAATTTTGTCATCATCACATTTTCCAAATGTATTCATTGTTGGAGTACAGCATTTGTAGATGAGTTAGTTAATTATGCTTTCTTTTCAAATTGATTCTCTTTCCATAGGTTAAGAATCCCATTTCTAATATGGTTCTTCTTTGGAGGAGTAGTTTCAGGTCATTGACATATTATGGAAATGACTTATAAACTGGGAAGTTGTCCGTAATAGTTTCATGTATATTTCAGAACTAATGTGAGTATAATTTTCTGTGAGTACATTAATTTCAAAGTAATATTTCTTACAAAGGTCAGAGAAATAATGTACGAGGGCACATTGAAAAGTCTTTGCCCCTGTTTCTTTCTCAGCTACAATAATACACATACAGGAAAATCAAAATACAGGCAGTGTTCTAAGTATTTTGACTATTTTTCCACATAGTCACCGCCCTGGTTCAGGCATTTGTCCCATTGCACCACTAGTTTGGAGATGCCGCTGTTGTAGAATTTGGCTGGTTGAGCATGGAACCACCGCTGGGCAACGGTTTTCACGTCGTCATCGGAAATGAACCTCTGGCCTGCCAGGAACTTCTTCAGTGGACCAAAACACGTGGTAATCACTGGGGGTGAGGTCTGGACTATACAGTGCATGATCCATAATCTCCCATCCGAATGACTGCAGTTGGGCGGTGGTTCTGTTTGCCACATGAGGCCTGGCATTGTCATGGAGGAGAACCACATCGTCCATGAGAATCCCTGGGCGCAACTGCAGAGTTACTTAGAACACTGCCTGTATTTTGATTTCCTTGTATGTGTATTATTGTGGCTGAAAAAAAAATATGGGCAAAGACTTTTCGATTTGCCTTCGTACATATGACACATCCTTACTTAGACCTGTAGAAAATTCAAAGCCGGAACAGGAACTCCATCAATTGAAAATTGTCATCAGATAATACAGGTCAAGTATTCATGTCTTTGAAAAATATTTTCTGTTCTTCCAAATTTAGAGTGGTATAGGACAGAATATGGATGTAACAGTACAAGAAAACATAATGACTTCCCTCAGTAACTAATTTTGAATCTCAGATAAAGAAACTATTAGTTCCATAGGCTTCTGAAAATATCAGTACTTAAAATTTTTCAGAACAAGAATATTTCTTTACCCTTAATCTAAAGAAATCAGTGAATTTGATTGTACCATACTTTGATTGAGGTAATGGTGTTTATTTAATATATTAGAATAGGATCAGCTTATAGATTTTCTGTCTGGGAAGCACTGTCTACTTGTTTCTCATTAAAGCCATGATTTCTTCCTGCATTTTAACTTCTGAGAAAGTTGTGTTTCAACCTCAGAACATTTACTGAAAAAAAGTGGGTCTTTTGAAAGTTTCTTTTATGTGCTTTAAGTTGGCTTTTCTGGCGCAATTGCAACCAATCAAAATTAGCATGTTGATACTTTCACCTCTTATCATCAAATAAAATAATATATTTCATAAAATACAGAATATTACAGCCAGTTATTTCCTTATTGCACACTGAGATTGTCTTTGTTTCACTTTGTCTTGAATAATTTTAATCGATTTTGGATTGTGGTCTTCTGAGTTATGGCATCACATAGTTCAGCAGGTGGTTCTCACTGTTCTGGAGAAACTTGTAATAAATCTAACTTCAAGATAGAGGCCCACCTACCAGCGTACACAGTAACGTAACTCAGAAAATTACATTCTAAAATCTCACCTGTCANAATGTAAAATATATATCAGTTTTATTATAATATTTTTTGTTCTACAAATAAAGCTGATATCACTTTTACAAGGTGTATGTGGCTCACAGATCATGTTTGAGATCAATAACATATTGTGTCTCGAAATTTTCACTTCAGTATGTTTTCATTCATGAGAAGAAAGTCATCATCGATGTTCGGCCATTTCCTCATCTAAGAAAGTGTACTACACGTGCAACACTGAGAGAGATACGGAGTGAGCAAGTGAGCACCAGAAACAAGGATCCATTACATATTCTTGCTCCCTCACTCAGTTTTTTAAGTAAACATTAATGTGATAATGAAGAAACATGCAAACAAAAACAATCAGTAAAAAATGTGAATTCATTTTCATCCATGTATTATTATTCTGAATAATTTAGGGTGACCAGATTTCAAACATAGAATATTGGTGAAGGTAGTCTTACTCTCCATTCAAAAGAATGTAATTTGTATGAAACACATAATCATAACATGAAGTATGCATGAGATTTAAATGCTGTGTGGGATCATTGAAGGCATTTTGCTGGTTTCACACTAACAAAATCGTTTGTTGCTCATTAAGTTACATCATCATGTTGGTTACCACATTTTCTGTCAGAGTACGTCTAGATACGGGCACGAGTAATTAACAATTAAGTGTTCTGTTCTCCTGCTGAACTTAATTGAAACACACGGAATATTTTGTTGTTAATTATATCTTGTAACACAAAAAACTTATTTCGATTGTTTTAGACTTATTGGAAGTGAGTACAACCTTATGCAATTATATCAGAATATGAATGTAAGAAAAAGACATCTGGTCACTCTATTGTAAACAAAGACGCATATCATATTAAAAGCGGTTTTATGTTTAGAGTTATTAATGTTAGTTGGTATATTTTTATAAATTAATGCTGTTAACATTACAGTTATAATTTAACTTATCATTTCATTGGTTGTTGTTACTATTATAATTATTATTATTATTATTATTATTATTATTATTAAGTGTGTTGTGTGACTAGTACATTAACTCTTCCTTTTTGAGATGACTGTGATGATTTGTATTGGGTCCCAAAATGTAATATCTAGTCATGAACGTCTTCCTCAAGCCCCTCCCAAGGTGTAAATGGAGCACGTCATTTCATATCAGTAAAGTGATCGACGGTCTATCAAAATGGTGCCAACCAATATGCATTATGTCCAGTTGGGTAGTTAAAAGCCCCACAGTACGTTCATGATGCTTGCTATGTATTCTTGATTTCACTTAATGTGCTCAGTGCATACGTAGGATAGTATAAATTATAGACTAACAGACTTTGTCTTCAACACCTAGGGACCAAGTTTGATGCCTACTGCAGTACTCTTTTCATATCCCCAGAGTTGTTACAAGAACAATCAACATTTCAAATGAGTCCTCTTCGAATTCATCTATTTGTCATCTTTCCCTTAATTAAACCAAGAATGTTGTGAAAACTTAACTTCATTCAGCCAGAAGTTTCATAGCCATTTCACCTGTATCACTTCTTGGATCATTTTCACATTATAGTTGATTGATTAATTATATGCAACCATTTTGTTTTGTTTCATTTAATTTGTTGTACATGACACAGTAGTCCAAATTTTTCAGTACTTGAACTAAACAGCTGTTCATTGATTATGGAGGTTTGCATGTCCAGTAATTGTCATGGTAATGCATATAATCCATGCAAATTTATGAATGATATATTTGTTGTTTTTGTGACATTGTTATAGACAATGGTCAATTCAACTGTTAAAGTATCTTTTACATTAATATTATATTTATGCATCCTGCTGCTGTAGTTGATCACATGCACACACATACATACACTTGAAATACAGTCTCCAGTGCAGCTTAACAGACTAACCCCTTAGTCCCTACTTTCACATAAATTCAACACAAACACAAGATAGCAGCACATACACTCTCCCCATTCTATACAGCAGATGAACAACACGGAAAGTTCGTAGTTCACCCACACCAGCCACCAGAACAGCCGTAATTACAGCTATACACAACAGTATGGTTCAGACACTGAGTAACATAAAACGAACATAACAATGTGTTGCATATTTTTGGCACATTGCTGGTAACCAGCATACCACCCACGAAATACACATTGCTGCAAAGAAAAATAACACCAAACAAGAACACTGTGACACACAGTACATCATTGTACATCATTTTAAGTTATTTTAAAAACATTTTCTTTATTAAATTAATTTAACTTAATTTTACGTATTACATTATTTTAACAGGAACCAGTCTGGTTTAAATAATACACTTCCAGGATCTGCAGCCCTCACCAGCTGTATAATACTAGAATAACTACCACTCAGCACTACAGCCCTGGGTGAGCCTTGGCCTCCTCTACAACCAGTCTCCACAACCAATGCGTGCTGCCATAGGAATGGACCCGAGGCTGGTTGTTAGGTTTCTGAACAATTCTTTTTACAGGATGAGGTTGTAAGCCTCGTGCACAACCCCCCATCCTGGAGAACCAGGTATCTCTCTTAGTCTGAGCTCTACCCTTTGACATTTCCGGCATTGATGACCTTATTGGTAGTTAAACTACCGCCGGCATAGCTCTCCAGGTCACAGAGACACGCAAGCCCCACCACCACGACAAGGTGGAGACACCTTTGGGGGTATAACACTACAATACGTTATAACAGTTTAGGCAGATCATCCTGTTTTCCTGCTGATGTTCCTATGCGACCGAAACGTACTGTTCAATTTACATGAAAGCCTGGACTAAATGGTGATTCGACCAACAATCTCTGAAACGGCGTTGATGACTGTATTGTGTGTGTGTGTCTTTGCCTTCAAATCAAGATATCTTTCATATTATTTTTTAATTTACTGCATATTTACGTATTTATTTTTATTCCAATTATGCTGTATCTGCGGTTTATTTTTACGTATGAATTGTATTGAACTTATGTTGACGGTTACTGCTGAAACATCCTCTGAACCAAACAAAATGTTCATTGTTATCTTGTCATTTCTCCAGACTTCTTGAATGTAAAGTCAGCCCCCAAAGTGAAAGAAAACAAATGGTGTTAATATAATTAATTAAACAATGACACCAAACAGTGTTAATTATTGAATTATCGAGCAGGTTGACGTAGCGGTAACGCTGTGGGTTTGTGTTCGGGAGGCTCTCGATTCAGATCTCGGTCTGGACATGAGCTGTCTTCTTTACTGAGTTTCCTCGTGATTTTCTTCAACCCCTAGGAAAATTCCAATATTTTACCTGGATTAGTTTCTTTCATATAGTTATTCACAAATCAATCTGCTATTCGACGCTACTTAACCTGGGCTACTGACCATGCATTAGCTCAGGAGGTTAGTCGCCGGCTTCCCACCTCGGCGGTCCGGGTTCGAGCCCAAGTCAGATCGTATAGGATATGTTGCGAACAGAGTGGCATTGGGGCGGGTTTTCTCCGAGAACTTCGGCCTTCCCTGCCAATTCTCATGTAACTAACTGTTCCATAATTATATATTGAGGGAAGACCTTAATGACGGCCGTACTAAGTGGACTCAGTCTCACGCAAATCCACGAAAAAGAAACAAAACTAAGATATTAGCATCATCGTAAAATAAGCCAAGCCGGAAACCAAAATTGATAAATCTCATGAATAGTTAAACAGTTCCTTCTAGTGGGCACGCGGTAGCGTAGTTTGATGAGGGGCTATGCTACAAGCCGGAAGGTCGCGGGTTCAAGTCCCGATGAGGTCATTGAAATTTTTTCAATTGACCTAATTCTTCCAGCCGCACTATGGCCCTGGGGTCGACTCTACTCTAACAGAAATGAGTACCACGAATCTTCCTGGGGGTAAAGAGTGGCCGGCGCGTGAGGCTGACAACCTTACCGCCATCTTTGAGCCGATTGTCTAGATAGTGTGGGACCCTCAACGTCTCACAACCCTATGGGCCTTCACGGCCGGTTAGAGGGATACCTTTACTTTTTTTACTAGCGTGACTGGTCAAGATTTTTCTTATTTCAATCATTTATGCCCTTACATGTTTCGGTCTTCAGAGACCATCATCAGAGGGACACCTTTACATCAGCACAGTTGGAAGTTACTATTGCAATATATGTTCCGAACGTTTAAATGTAAGCATATAATATTAATTATATACAATTGGATATAAGATCTAAAGTTTTTACAACTACAGCGGCTGTTCCAATACATTAAGATATTTATAATTGGTCCTTCATTTGAAGGAGAAAGCTCTAGAGCGCATCAAGTGGAGGAACTGTTTTGGAAGAGACTCTGGACCTCTTGTATGACAGATTACTGATTAATGAATGTTAAGATTTTATCGGAATTTATAAACCAAGTAGGTTCGTGTCGTTTTTCTTATTATTTCTCTTGACAGAGGGCCGAACTCGTGCCCCCTTATCGTTCTCGAGAAGAGGGTTCTTTGATGTTCTCCTCTTTGTGTTTGTGGCGAGCTGTGTTGCTTTAATGTATTGGAACGGCAGTTGTAGTTATAAAAACTTTAGATTTTATACCAAATTGTATATTAGTAATATTATATGTATATATTTTAACGCTCGGAACACGTATTGTAATAGTAGCTTCCGACTGTATTGATGTAAAGGTGTCCCTCTGATGATGGTCTCTGAAGACTGAAACATGTTAGGGCGTAAATAATTGAAATAAGGAAATTCTTCACCAGTCCCACTAGACGGAACTGTTTAACTTTTCATGATATTGTTAGTGTGACGGACCGGAATGAAACAAATCGGACAAATCTCAGTTATATTGTCACGTGTTTGAGTGACCATAGACGGAGTTTGCATTGGAGATTAGATTTGCTGACCACTTTTACGCACGACTAGTGAACACACTTAATTATAGCGCCATATCTGATCTCCATATTTTACAGATCACTAAAGCACACACTAAACCTTTTCAGTCTGCTGTGTCTTCACAAGTCGTTTCCTGGTAACGACTTCTAACAGTTAATATTCTTGAGCTTCCGCGCACACTTCGGTACTGTCCGGCGAATATCCTACAACTGCATTAAAGTCTAAACTTGTCCCATAGATGGCCCCTTGGCACGGACCACGTTGAAAACACCGTTTCCGATAGTTCCTGTATTGTTGCGCTCGGATTCGCTGTGGGAATCTGGCTGTTTCTTGGTCGCTGCCTGGTAACGGATGTAGACGCTACATAATCTTAAATACCTACACCTCTTAACTAGCCCTTTTTGTTTTGACAATGAAATATTTGATTATGCTGTCACGTATCTGGGATGCAGTGCAGGGCATTTTGANTCCATATTTTACAGATCACTAAAGCACACACTAAACCTTTTCAGTCTGCTGTGTCTTCACAAGTCGTTTCCTGGTAACGACTTCTAACAGTTAATATTCTTGAGCTTCCGCGCACACTTCGGTACTGTCCGGCGAATATCCTACAACTGCATTAAAGTCTAAACTTGTCCCATAGATGGCCCCTTGGCACGGACCACGTTGAAAACACCGTTTCCGATAGTTCCTGTATTGTTGCGCTCGGATTCGCTGTGGGAATCTGTCTGTTTCTTGGTCGCTGCCTGATAACGGCTGTAGACGCTGCATAATCTTAAATACCTACATCTCTTAACTAACCCTTTTTGTTTTGACAGTGAAATATATGATTATGCTGTCACGTATCTGGGATGCAGTGCAGGGCATTTTGGTGAAATGCAGACCGTCACATTTAATTTATATCACGGTAGAAAATTCGTTTTTATTTTTCATCTGAATATAGGATATATGAAATAATAATGAAATTTTTAAAATTATTAATGAACAGAAGAAAGTATGGAAGAAAAGTTGAAGGCAACACCTGTTGGTCTGTAAATGGTTTCAGGAAAATTTGGCAATCGCACAAATAAAATAATTATTCCAAGTTTCAGAGCTTGAATAATGAAATTTAAGTCGCAATTCAGGACTTCACATCTCATCCACTGCCTCATCACAAAGACAAGCAGAACCCTCTGGTGGTTCCATTGCTGTTAACAAAACACTCCGCGAACCCGTCTGTCTCATTATCTCAATGCACAACTACTTAAGCTCAAATATGTATAATCACTTAGGCTAATATTGCTTCAGAACAAAACGAAATCACCCATCATAATGTAGATATCATTGTAGTCTGAAAAAATTCGTGCACTGATACAATGTGTCACGCCAGGATGTGTGGGTAATGCAATTGGTGATTCTGTGAACATTTTTGTTATATGAAATCTGTTGTTGACATGTGTAAATTCTATTCAATAAACCTGTTTTCTTTACTTAATAGCAATCATTTCCCTTCTGTCAACGAGTTAATTGCGACGAAATTAAATCTGTAAATGGACTAAGTAATTACTTTCATACGTAGTTCTCAGATTCTTAAGAACCTCGTCTGAAATTTGTTTGCAACAGAGATGTAAGATTCTTATGAACCCCTCCATTAGACTAGTGACAAATCTCTCCTATTTGCATAAAAAATTGTACTCAACAAATAATTTCTTTACAGCATTTTTTTTTTCAAAATGAGGATACCTGGGTTCCCACATACGTTTCGCAGGATACAGGTAAGGGTTTTGAAGAGTTTCATAATTTGTACTTTTCTCCAACTATAATTAGAATGATTAAGTCAAGGAGGATGAAGTGGGAAGGGCATATAGCACGAATAGGGAGAAGAAGAATGCATATAGGATATTGGTGGGAAAGCCAGAGGCAAAGAGACACTGGGAAAACCAAGGAGTAGTTGGGAGGACAATATTAAAATGGATCCTAGAGAGATATGATGGGATGGTATGGATTAGATTGATCTGACTGAAGATCGGGATCAGTGGATGGCTCTTGTGAACGCGGTAATGAACCTTTGGGTTTCATAAAATGCTGGGAAATTCTTGAGTAGCTGCATAATAGTCTGCTTCTCAACAAGGACTCAGCTCCATATTAATTTAATTTAATTTAATTCTCAAAACCACGAAATAGCCATGTTCATGGAATATGTGCTTCCAATAGATCTTTCCTTACGTATGTTGAAATAGAGAGTTCAAATGATGTAACATGTCTGAACTCTGAACCTCTCCTTGTTTATCTGTTGAATTGAGCTGCTGTCTCCCATAGCGGCCCTTGACCAGGATGGAAGGGGCCGTGTTGGGAGGAAAAATAATGTGCTTGACAGAAATCAGGCTCAATTAATCGTCCCCATACTGCAGTCTCCCTCGAGTGGTGCCAGTGACGTGTTCTCATATGCTACGGAAAATCTTTGCAGTTAAAAATATTAACAACTGTGGCGCTGTGCATGTAGTGTAAAAATGTTACCCAAAGAACGTGGCAGGAAAATGAACGGGGTACAAAGAGGAGATGTTTTCATCCTTCTTACAGCTGTGGTGTTTATGCTTCGGTTTACCGAAATTGAATCAAGTAGGTATTGAATGTGTGCAAATAATATCATGAAATCATTATTATTATATATGTCACCTGAGTCATTTATTTTTATGATAGAACAGCGTAGATTTCCGAATTTTGTGGAAATGCATGTAAACGGGTCAGACTTTTAATGTTCGATCGGTTCAATTTGGAGGTCCTTTCTTTTTCAACGACGCAACAAATGCTTCAAAGATCCTGCATGAAGCTACAATTTACGTCTGATAATACTATATAAATAATGTATTGATAAGTTACTCAAACAGAAACTGTTAGAAATATTTGAAAGCAAAAGAAAAAACGTAAAATTTTACTCCATATTTTAAGGGCTTCTAAATGCTATTGTAATAACTGCAGTCGGGTTTCTCAACATTGCTTCATAAGATACTTCAGTTAAGTCTGTAGACTGTTGTTTCGTTTGAGTGAGGTGAAGCTTGGTAACAATGCAGTTGTGCTGTTGAAGGAAAGGAAGGAAAGTGACGCACTTGTAACTAACTCCCTATTGTAACCGACAATCATTATGCAGTCCTTACCCTGTATAATGGACTCGACCAAATCAACTGCACATTCGGCTTGGAACGGCCAAGTCTAAAAACATGGATATTACTTGTCCCGAGCTCGATCCCAGGTCAGATCGTGTGGGATTTGTGGTTGACCAAGTGGCGCTGGGGCAGGTTTTCTCCGAGTACTTCGGTTTCCCTTGCCGATTTTCATTCCATCTATTGCTTCACACTCATCATCATCATCATCCGAGACTGGTATAACAGGTCAAACAGCGACCGACGTACCAAGTGGACTCAGTCTCACCCCACCACAAGAAACTAAAAAGTAAAAGCTATATGAAATTTGTAATGTTGTATTTTAGCGTCCTGTTGCACTGATTCTCATCCATGATACGTATGTAACGGCCGTCTTGTAGTGCACTCAATTTCATATGTCGCTTCTTACTACATGTTTCGGCAACATTGTGCCATCCTCAGGTGCTTTATTTACGCTAAGCTATTGCACTGCTTGCCATCATGTGTCTTTCATAAAATTATTAAAATGTACATTCTTCATAACTATAATAAAATTTGTATACACTAAAACTTGTTAAGAGTATTCATCTTATGCGACTTAATTCAAACTCGCATATTGTATGGTTCTTCCACTATGGGAGTCGTTTTTCTTACATTTTTTGTGTACTGTGTCTTGTGATGTGTCCTTCCTTTTTGGCTGCGAGAGTTGTAATAGCTTAGCGTAAATAAAGCACCTGAGGATGGCACAATGTTGCCGAAACATGTAGTGAAGTGACATGTGAAATTGAGTGCACTACAAGATGGCCATTACATACATATCATGTATATGAAAGTCTATAAGCATTTTTCGCTACTGAAATTATAGGTGAACGCAAGAATTTTGGAGGCATATGAGAACACATTCGAAAGCTAACATGATTCTGGTGTCGTAATCGATACGTGTTTCTTGAATAGACTTATGAAAACTTCAAACTTAAACACTGAATTTAGCTTTCAGAATGAGTAAGCAAACTCAACCACGGCTCGCGGTTAACTTGCCTGATCTTACGTAAGCACAATTTTTGTCATAATTTAGGTTATGTTAGTTGGCAAACTTCGTTTAAATGTGTACAGTTATGTACATCATGCACAAACGTTTGTTTGATTGCTTACATTTACCTTTATTTAAAGGCGTATGACCCAGAAACTGAAACATTCGAACTAAGTAGTCGAACACATTAACATTTAGTTTGTGGTGGGATCGAAAGTAATTCAAAAGTTGTCTGTTTTTAATCCCGTTTTTATTTAGTTAACTACATTAACAGTGCAACCTAACCTGCAACAAGGCGCTAAGGCTTAGTGCGTAGTTCCCTTGTGTTTTATGAATTTGTATGAGTAAACACATATAATTAAATGGTAAAAAAGTGAAAGTAAACCTTTCCCTGTAACAGGCCGTGAAGACCCATAGGGTTGTAAGACGTTGAGGCTCCCACATTATCTATAAAATCGGCTCACAGATGGCGGTAAGGTTGTCAGCCTTACGCGCCGGCCGCGCTTTACTCTCCAGGAAATTATTTAATTCCTGGTACTGATTTATGTTAGAGGTTGAGTCGACCCCAGGGCCACAGTGCGGCTAGAAGGATTAGGTCAACTGAAAAAAAAATCCAATAATCACATCGGGACTTGATCCCACGACCTTTCGGCTTGTAGCATAGTGTCTCAACCAACTACGCTACCGCGTGCCCAAATTAAATATTAACTTAATTTAAATACTGTTTAAATCTCCGAGGAAGTGAATAAGAGTGCGAAATTTATGCATCATTTACCATCAAAAATAATTGAAATCTTTTGCGTGCATATAATGCAATATCTGTAAATCACCCAGTGGCTAGTATTAGCTATCATATACGCCCATTTTTTTTTACAATAGTGTATTTTACTTTGTTACTAAATCCAAGTTGTTGGTCTTATTTTGTCATAACTTCTCATGTGTTTGTATTCTTGTGCAGAAATATTAGTTAACAATAGCATTGTGTAATTGTTGTTTCTAATTAAATTAGAAATGAAAATTTCCATGAAAAATCTTCTGGTCACTATTCAGTTCTTCCGAAATAGTTCTGTCCTTGGAAATTTGATTTCAAACTTAAGCTATGACGTTAATCGCTGATAGAATATACACGTATTTAACTTATGAATGAATAATTTTGTTTAAATTCGCCTCTGTTGTGGATCTGTGCCATTTTTCTTTCGCGGTTTGTTTCTATAGAGGTCCATTTTTGAAATTCGATAATTTCCAAACCCAAAATCAAAATGTCTCCCTTATATAGTAGGAATTAATTAGTTGCAGCTCTTTCTGGAGGTCCATAAGTGCAAACTCGACATCAAGTAATCGATTTCGACATTTAAATGCGACAATAACAACTTACTTGCCTTTGTTGTTACAGTGTAATATTCCAGTTATATATTTAATAAATATTTTAGAAGATAGGCCCACAAATAATCCTCATCCACTAGAGGATACAAATAGATCTATGCGTGATGCAACATTTAGGCTCTCGTTATGTGAACCAACGTACCTAATTCCACAACATATCTCCCCTTGATCAATTTTAGAACTAACGTCTAACATACGAGACAGTTTGCCAGCTGCCACCTGTGTAAGCCTGTGAGATTCGTACTCATTTCTTGAGGTACATGATCTATCATTATTGCTGTATTATAATTGACATAAACATGCTAGTAAAATTATAGACTTGAAAGGATTCTTATGATGGTGTATGCTGTACAGAACTAATAGGCTTTCGTCTCCGAAACGTTGTGGTTTTTTGTCTTTATATACCAGACGATGGATAGAGTCCAAACTAAGCCTAATAGTTCTGTATAGTAAAATTATATCAATGCGTTGTTTCTTGTAGGAATTTCTTAATTTCCCAATATTCTCTTCAAACAACAAATATTTTTTTCAGTCACATTTTCTTTACTTCCCTTGAACCGAACACGTGATTAAGAGTTGATCCTCTAACGCCATGTCATCATCACGACTGCAGAGAAGCACAGCGGAATAACACAGAAGTTTAATGAGTAGTTGGCTCATAGTCATTCCCAAGTATGGCGTCATTAACATCTAAAAGAAACACTCATTTAGAGACTCCATTGTGTCATCACATGTATTTTGTATTTATATTTATATAATCATTCATAAGAGATACATATACGTTGTATTTTTAATACTATAGAAAACAAATAGATAACGACCTTAGCCCATAAGCAACACTGCTCGAAACATAAAATATTTCCTCGACATATACAATTAAAAATGTCTGTTAATGGCGTCAGAATGGCACCGAAATATGTGACATTTGAATTACTGCTGGAAGAGGGGAACACATAACGAGAATGATAATCAGCATACTGAAAATAAACGTGATTTAGTGAGTTGCGTGAAAGAGTTCGTGTTATCTGTCTAATTAGACTGGTTAAAGTACATTACCAGAAGATTGGCACAGTGAATAAAACACACGATTTCACGTGATTTCTTTTATGAATATGTAGTATTGTACTGTACACGTGATACTGTCTAATATGGCCCGTTTGCTTCTAAAGGCACGTCCACATTACTCGTGCTCGCCAGGCTTGTGTTCGTCGGGAGACTCGTCTGGCGTTTACTTGTGCTCGTAAATCTTCGTCCACACTACTTCAGTTGCTCGCCAGGCTTCGGCGCGTGAGGATCCGTATATTTTACTCGTTGTGTGTATAGGCTGTAGTCGTATTTTAATTTATTGGCTATAGTTTTTAAATTAAAAATTTGCTTGTCTCGTGACTTGTCATATCGTCCACATTACTCGCGAGCATAGAGAGTCACACGAGCACGAGAACGAGCACGAGTAATGTGGACGCGCCTTTACATTCCACCCCAAGATCATAAGAAAAAGATGGAATTGAATGATATTAAGTAAATATGTGTATATTCTGATATTTTCTACGTATTAGGTAGAAACATGACTACTATACGTCACAACTCTGAAATTTTTATGACACATATAAAAATATTGATATTATGAGGGGCACGCGGTAGTGTAGTTAATTGAGGCTCTATACTACCAGCCGGAAGGTCGCGGGTTCGAATCTCGATGAGGTGGATTTTTTCAACTGACCTAATCCTTCCAGCCGCACTATGGCCCTGGGGTCGACTCAGCCTCTAACAGAAATTAGTACCAGGAATCTTCCTGGAGGTAGGAAGAGCCCAAGGCTGGAAGGCTTACCGCCATCTGTGAGCCTATTGTCTAGATAATGTGGGAGCCTCAACAATACACAACCCTATGGGCCTTCACGGCCTGTTACAGGGATAGCTTTACCTTTTAAGGCTTCACTAAATATCAGATACATGTGGAGGCAATAATCATTTAACAATTACAAACGAACATTGTAAACGTTAAATTGTCCTATTTTATTTCGTTGTTAATAATTTCCTACTACTAGGTTCTATGTAATTATGAAAATGTACTGTTATTTAGAAAATTAAAGTAATTTCTGTGAGATCATTTACAGAAGAAGGTAACAAAAATTTTCGTATTCGACATCATTAGCATGTAGACTGTAAAACCTAACATGAATTCTTATCTAATGAATACCTTTCTTTATTTTAACAGATCCACTGAAAGATCCAAGCATCTGCGGACGTCCAACATGCATTCGTAAGTATAAATATATATCTCAAAATATATGGGCACCCAAAATGCAGCTTCAGTATGAAAGTTCTACATTTGAATCCCACTGTGATATCCATATTAACCCCATCTTTGTTTCATACATATGTATGTGGTTCTCTTATTCGGAGGAAATGGCGGATTTCTATTATGGAAAATAAATTATTCATAGTTTTCAGTCCCGCGTAAATGTTCCGCTGTGTTATCCTTCATACCACAGATATGTTATAAATTCAATTCAGTTAGTTAAATTTTTATTTCGCACAATTCAAATATTTCCTTTGCCAGGTAAATATATCACAATCTTATAATAGACATCCCATTCTCTCCCAGGTTGCTATCGGTTAGTTTCTGTCGGAAAAACCCCGATTTTTAGTTATTTCATCCTTCGGCTTCATAAATGTGTCGCAGCAAACTGGCCACTATGAATAAATTTATTGAACATTGAACACACAATGTTTCTTCTGCAACGATGTTCCTTTTTGAACATTCGTCCCCTATAGTTCAAGGCCTTGTATGACGCTCATTTCGTTGTGATCCTATTATATTTCAATTCAAAACGGTTGCATATATTCAGGTTATTCAATGGTAATGTTAAATTTTAGTTAAAAAAATATAACATATAATTAAGCCTGGAGCATTTAACGAAATAAAAATAATATAAATCACTGAGGAAAAAATTGTTCTTGTGCCTAAGCACAACTCCAAGAAGGTATACAGATCGCCTCCCTATGCCAGACATCGAACACATGTTACCCATTCAAAAGCCAATCATTTTGCTGACTAAGCTATGCCGGTTCAAAATTATATGAGTACATATACGAGTATATGTAATATTATACATGCATATATTTTAATATGCGTATATGTAAGGAATGCGCATTTTAATGCCTTGCAGATGCCTGATATTTTAAAAATATTTTGAGAACATTTCGGAATAATTTATGTTAATAAAGACAATCTGCATTTTTGCGCAAATTCTAGCGGGATACTGAGACTACGATAGTGAATTCGGGACTGTCGCAAGAATCTGGCATGAGAGCGTTTCTCGAAACTTCCCCGAAGCTGCACCTCCTCAGAGGACAGTCTTGCTAGTAATATCAAATTGCAGCATCCTGTCGCACTACGTAGATCTGACTTTGCGTTCCTCTTTTTTGCCGTCTGTGTGTAACGTCGGTTAACATTCTCTCGCCTTTTTCTCATTATTGATACCAAAAGTCCATGTGTCAATAAAAGAAAACAACGACAGAATATTACTGACGTTGCACATAGCAAGAAAAAGCGAAACTCAAAGTCGTGACCGGTCAGGACGGACCTAGCCTGAGTTCAGCTAGTGCACGAGAGGGATGACAGAGGCCAGCGTAGGCCAGACGTGCGTGTAGGGACGTGATTATAGGGAGTGCGACGAATTGCAACACAATGCCAGCTGGGATAGCTCAGTCGGTATAATGACAGGCGACGGTAGGACGGCCGATGTTCGATCAACCATAGCGTCTTGATCAGCTGTGGGGCTCGATGACTGTCCTATGCTGTGCATGCTGGGGTGCTCTTTCTCCGGGCGTGAAGTAGTTGACAACTAATCTCAATCCAGTGCCGAGGGGGAACTATACCCCCACTCCAACACACGCGTTTATGGCGTAGTGGGTAATTAATTAAGCACAGAGTACAGATCAGTGCAATGGAGACAGACGCGCTAAAGTTATAGTTAAATAACGAGTTTACAAATAATGAAAACGAAGGTTATAAGCGGTAACGATTGACGAGGGCGTTACTCCATGACACCTGTATGCGTGTATTAATTTGTGCTTACGCAGATGGCGAACTACCTTTCACACATCCCTTCTGCGTTTAAGAAAGCTATTAACTGTGATCCTAAACTTGAAGAATCAATACACCTCTTATCAATCCTGACCAAGAGCTTTCCTCTACCAGTTCAGGCAGGCACTACGATTGAATCCAAAACCTTACGCTCTTACCCAAAATTCACCACAAGACCCACTGCATAGGGTCATAACAGAGAAGCTTGAACGCAGGAGGGATAATGATCGTCACCGGCATCGAATCAAAGCATCATCACCACATTGAGAGTACGTTTCCAAGGTGAGGTGTGAGAACTTTGCAAAATATCTGGCAACAGAATACCCAGAAGTAGGAAGACTGCATCTTTTAGAGGTATTTAATCTTTGCACACTGTATATTTCTGTAAATGTCATTAGTTCTCACAAACCCTCACCACATAATTGGGTCAGAGGTCATTATTTGTCTTCAGAACGTTCTCTCAGAGTAATTTTTTAAATCTGCCACAGTACTGTAAATAATCAAAATAAAATAGACTGGTTCAAATATAGGAAAGTTGATTTTCTGTACTCGTGTGTTTGCCAACTTTGTCAGTGCTGTCAGCATCTTACCCTTCATCTTTCTCGTTCACTCATGTATGTGCAGGTGTTGAATTTCTGTGGGGGGAGAGCAGCTGAAGACGTGTTTGTTCCAACACTACATATTTTGTGCCTGATAATGTATGTAAGTAAAATATATGAATATTTATTACTTTCAGCTGGAAAGAAGTTTGCCTACCTGACAACAACAAATTATGTTTATGAATACACTAGTGAAATCAGCACTTTGTTTGGTGGCACAAGCACAAACAAATCATCACTATATATTTCTGCTCAAGTATCACTGGACTTTCCAACACCATGTGAAGGAGTTCTTCAGGCAAGCATGCAATACTTCACATTTATTGAATTATTAAATGATTCAGAAACATAACATAATTTTTGGATTATGTAGATTTGGAAATAGTGTTCTGTTTTATAACTACAAAATACATTCACATTAGGAAGAGAGTTCCTGCATCTTTTGATAACATTATAGTAGCTATTGTTCATAGGATTGTCAAGAACTCTCACTCTAAATGGATGGATATTTCATGCTGAGTCAGTTACTGATAATAATATATTTCTCTACTAACAAAGTGATATTCTCTGTGACCACAATTAAATTATTTCCATCTCTGCTTCTTCTGTTAATTTCATTGTAGGTATCACAACTATCTTTAACAGAAAAGGCACCAACGTATGACAGAGAAGAGGACATAGACATTTTGAGTCCTCAACTTCCACATTCAGCAGAATTCAGCCAAGCCATTGGTCAATATCCGTTAAGGTAATAAAATGTTTTTTAGAGCTTTGTTGAACAAAGCCTTGAGAAACAATGGGAAAACTATTTTTCTTTGAATCTCCCTGCTGTTAAGCAGAGGTGCTCAGTCATGTCTGAAGTAAAATATTATGAATGTTAGATCACACTTATTACCTTACCTGCTCTATATTGATAAGTTCAATTGTTAAATTCTGAAGCCCAAGTATCCTGATATGTCAGCTAGATAACACTTAAGAATAGGTCATATCTGCTTCCTTCATTCATATCTAAAATGAGGTAGACATGTGAATGACCTGTTTTTTTATAATAAAATTTGCTGTAAGTGTGGTTTTGTTCTTTGAATTATGGCCATATAACAGAAACAGTACTGTTATCATTGCAAGGATTAAGAGGCAATGCATCTGTAGGGTCAGTTGGGACTAAGTCCCATTCTGATTGCTATAACAGGGCTGGTTAAGGCCTGGTTGCAGTTACCCCCTCTTAGCACATTTGGGATTGAGTAATACTTTTGTTTAATTAAAAGTGACTTTTAGGCTTGTGTAAAATGTCGAGGTTAGCCAGTCTCCCATAAACAATTACAGTAGAACTTGGTTATAACGTCATCAAAGGGACCTAAAAATAGTGTCGTTATAAACGAATGTCGTTGTAACCGAAATGGGCACTTCCACAGTAGCCTTATGTTAGTCACGTAAAAATCTACCAAAAACCAAGTTAAAATGTTGCATTTTTTAGTGAAATACATACTTAAGTACAGACTAACGTAACATTAACATGGAATTGCCCAAATGTGTAATATCAAAGACATATTACAGCACTTTTCACTGACAATACACACAATATTTCACGAATCACTTTAACTTTCTCTTCAATGCTTAAAACTTTCCTTTTCATTGCCATGTTTTCGCTACTGCACTTCTCTGGGTTTAGGCAGGAACACTATTTGGTAAGTAGACAATATGAGGTCCTGTTAGACGAGATTCTAGGAAAGGAATGCAGTTAACAAACTGCCGCGTCCTCTTGCACTATTCACGCAGTCCCACCCCACACCCTTGTTTTCGCATAAAACCCACGCTCCTCTTGCAGCCCGCGGTCGTATTCTTCCAGGACAGTCACATCAGCAAGTAGAGAAAGTGAGGGTGGGCAGACACATCAAACTTTCCCACGATATCAGAGAAATTCAGGAATGAAAATGACGTTACATACGAGGTTGATGCATTTGTGCATGTCGTACTAAGCAAGGTATAAAAACAGTTGCTTTATGAGGAATTAGTTCATACCATTGAATATTTGACGCAATAGACAAAGTGTCGCAGAAACCGATGTTGCTATAACCAAGTTTTACTGTACATCCATTGCCAGGTGATTCACCAGATGCTGCTGAAGTAATCTAATTTGGATTCAAGATTCACCAGATGCTGCTGGAGTAATCTAATTTGGATTCAAGATTCACCAGATGCTGCTGAAGTAATCTCATTTGAATTCAAGTTTCACCAGATGCTGCTGGAGTAATCTCATTTGGATTCAAGTTTCACCAGATGCTGCTGAAGTAATCTCATTTGGATTCGAGATTCACCAGATGCTGCTTAAGTAATCTCATTTGAATTCAAGTTTCACCAGATGCTGTTGAAGTAATCTCATTTGGATTCAAGATTCACCAGATGCTGCTGAAGTAATCTGATTTGAATTCAAGATTCACCAGATGCTGCTTAAGTAATCTCATTGGAATTCAAGATTCATCAGATGCTGCTAAAGCAATCCAATTTGGATTCAAGTCCAGCTGTTTTGTATACCTTAATTAAACCACCCTGCCCAAATGGTTGTGAGAGGATGCAGGGTGTAAGAGAATGAAAGTTGAAGCTGAAAAATAATGAAAGTAGCATTGACAGAAAATACAAAATAAATCATTCTGAACTTCATAATTTGATGATAGGTGATTAAATGTGACTGAAGAGAAGAAATAATTTTCTTGCTTCATCTGTGTACTGTGTAACAGCCGTATTATGATGGGTAGTATCAGCCATGAATAATGTGAAACATTTATCAGAGAAGGTGAAGATGAATGAATTGTATGTTGTTCATATTGATAGTGATATGAAGTTAAAATGTTTAGGTTCTGTAAAAATTTAGACCTGGCTGAATGAAGATTGCCATGCGTTTCTGAGTTGCACAATGAATTAGTAGATAAGGATGGACACAAATTGAGTAGGACAACAAACTACATCGAGTTCTATGGAACATGTGAGTTACCACTAAGGGGAATTAATGAAACAATCCTCTTAAACATGGAGACTTCCAAGATTTGTTATTAGAGGTAGAACATTTGTATAGCATTTAGTATGAATATTATTTTAAGAGCAGCCTATGGTGGAAGAACATAAATCATGAATATTTGAAAAGAAAGTGCCCAGGAAACTGTTGAGACCTTGAAATAATGAAGTGGAAAATTGGGGTGCCACACAGAAAATAACATTAATTTCTCTTTTGTTGTTAGAGAAGTTAATCAGGGAATTTATAAAGAACTGGACATGTAGTGTGCATGTGATGGGGAAACAAGTAATGCATGCAGCATTTTCTTGGGGATAAACTCATTTGAAAGTGAGCTTTAAGAACACCAAGAATAAGATAAGTTACTTCTATACTGGCTTAGGACTCACTCCAGTGGCAGGAATTTGTGATACCAGTGCTGGATCATTGAATTTTATTATCAGACAGTTTTGTCAGCAAATGATTACATTACATTTTTATTTTGTTCTATGACTATACTAAATTGATGATCCTAATTTATGTATGAACTATATTATTTGCAGGTTTTCGTTCACTGATGGACTTATTCCAGAGATATGTCCTCATATGAATGAAACAAGTTGGGTGCTCAATTTCAAGAGAGGAATTCTGTCAGCATTTCAGAACACTATGAAGAGGTTTGATGTGGATCATCAGAACATAGATGTAAGACATTAACATTCTTGTCTATTAGCAGATGCCATATTATTTTTGATTCAGTTTTCTTGTCATAGAAAAAGTCTATAAAAAGAATTTTGAAGTGATCATTCCCGTTTAAAAATTTATTCCTGTAACTTTCTTAACTTATTGCATAAGAGTGCTTAATGAGATTTGGAAAAAATTTTATTTATTCATTTTATTTGGCATTCATAATTGCTCCAACATTAACACTTGAACAAGTCACATCATGAAATACATCATTCTTGAAATCCTTTTGCCAAAATACTTAAAGAATTAGGATTTGTCAACAATAAATAATCACTCTTGATGTGGTTAACCTATAATTAAAATATAACACAATTTCATGATGTACTATAAATTCTGTGATTATCCCACATTGTTAATAATCTGATAATCAGTAGATAAGCTGCTTTCTCTGTGTGTCAGTACATGAATTCTTGTACATATTTAGTACACTGTCCTTTTACAGAACTTATGTGTGCCATTGAGGTTTAGAGGCGAGTTTCCCATCACTCTCCTTAAAGTTATTGTATGGTTTTATGTACTGACATATTTTATTACATGGCAGGCTGATATAAATGGTCTCTGTGAAACAAAGTATGCTCTGATGGGTGCCAGGGAGACAAGCCTTGTTATCACAAAGAAGAAGGACATCTCCACTTGTACTTATAGGTACAAGCATCATTCTATACTTCAGACAACGCCGTATCTCTTCAGACAGGTAAATGCAAAAAATTATATGAGAAAGGAGTAGACTGCTACATATTCAGTTTGCTCAACAGGTCTTGTGTCATTATATGCGCAGTAGACATGAGAGCATTTATGCACTTGTATTTATTGTATAGGATGTTCCATTCAAACCTCCCACATTTTATCAGATCTTAGAACAGAAAGTATGATTGGTAGGAAAATGAAGCTACAGGAAATACAAGAACAACTCAAACAATTGTATTTGACACACCAATAAACCTCTACATATGCACCATTGGTAGCACGAACAATATCCAATCTGTATTCAATTTCTTGCCATGTTCTTTCCAACATGTCCGTTGGTACAGTTGCAATCGTTTCACTGATGCGGGCTCGTAAATCTGGGAGGTCATTCACTGGAGGCACGAACACATAGTCCTTCACGTAAACCCAGAGGAAGAAATCGAGCGGAGTGATGTCCAGTGAACGTGGTGGCCACTGAATTGGTCCACCACGTCGAATCCAGCAATCTTGGAAGTTGGCATTGAGGGACCTCCAAACATCCAGACCCCAATGTTGAGGGGGGCTCCATCTTGTTGGAAGATTATGTTAGGCTGCAGATCAGCTACCTGGGGATACAGGAACTGTTCTACCGTGTCAAGGTATATGCAGCCAGATACTGTAGCTTCACCAAAGGAAAACGGAAATAAAATTATTTGGCTTTATCTTTCATCTAATGTTAATTATAATCCATAATTTATCACAATTTGTTCGCAGTGATTAATTAAAATGTGTGAAGTTTGAATGGAACACGCTGTATTTTATGTCCTTTCTATGTGTGCTTGTTCTCTTTGTTTTGGTATAAACTGAGCCCTGTTTCAATTTCAGAATTTTCAACCTGCACCCATTATGCGATCCAATAGTTCCTGCGAAATATCCGTGGACCACAACGTGTATAACAAGATTGTTTGCCAGGAAGTGCATTTGTTTCAGCCATTCTCAAGCAATGATAGTGGTGCACATACTGTTGTAAAACAAGTGTTGACACTACTTACAGAAAGCAACTCCACATCAGAAGTGCCAGGTAATATCTTAATAAGAGAAACCTGAACTTGAAGGGCCATGTGATACAATTTTTATCCTAGTTTCTTAGGATTTGTGGTTCCCACGGTGGTGGTTATGAAGAATTCTGTCTCCTGGGATCTAACACTGTGTTCACTGACATTTCGGAATGTCAATTTAGCTTCAACATACTATACAGTGCTACGTCCCACAAGACAGAAGTCCTCCTGTCCAAATTTTATATATGTCTGCTTCTAGAAGAATGAAATATACATTAGCATTAAGCAATGAATTTTTAAAGGGGAAGCTGAATCTAATGAAATCCTCTCAGACTCACAGCTGTATAATTCGGCCAATTACTACTGGCGTTTCGGGGAACATGTCTGTCCATATCTTCAAGCCCTGATGTCACATGAATCTAAACTGTTCCATCTACATGCTAACACATAGTCTGTGACTAAGCGGCCTCCGTAGTCTAGAGGTAACGTTTCCACCTCATGACTCGTAGTACACGGGTTCAAATACCCGGCGGAGGTCATCGAATTTTTAAGGGTGGAAAAATTCAGGGAACAAGTCCTGCGGGAGGGACTTTAAGCCGTGGGTCCCGTTGGTCTTTTCTCCAAATTGGTGTATCTCTTTATTGTTTGATCATAATGTCATGTGATGGCATGACTATAGACAGGTCTTGGATTGATAACAGAATTTATTACACACTTTGATACAGGGCATGACTACATGTTAAAGCTTACTATTACACATACACACAAGTTCCCACAGTTACGTCTTCACTAGCCGTTGTTTGGTAGCGACTTCCAGCGGTGCATGTTCCGCTTTCTCTGGGTTCCTGAACTGTTCCTGACCTCAGCTACCAGCTTCTAACAGCAACAGATCACCATGACCCCAGCAGTTCTTAACTTGTCCAGCTTATAACATCTCGGCACAGAGCACGCAGAAAACATAATTGCTCTGTTGCTGTTTACAGGCCACTGCCTAGTAACAGCTGTGGTGTAGTTACTTATTTTGCAGTCATTGCCTAGCAGGGGGTCAGCGTGCTGAGATATTAATTCCGATGTATCAAGGATTGAGGTTTAAACCTATGCCATTTTGTGTCATGAAGCTTCAAAAGGATGTACATTTTCCTTTTCGACATGTAAGATTCATTAGAGGGGATTCTACAGGTATACAATTTTATGGACAATGTAGTGATAAATTTCGTTAGTTTGTCTGGGCTCTTTTATCTAACTGAGTGTTTAGCATATTAGTCAAAGATCTGTTCATATTTCTCTTTATAGTATAATAATAATACAGAATGTCACAAAAGGCCATCAGTATGCTTAGAGTCGCATAATACTTTTATCTCTTCCAGACCCTGTAAACCGTCGCTCCACTTTATTGTTTGATCATAATCAAACACCAAAGCCAGTATCTGGTGAGCTGAAAGCTTCTCGAGACCTTATCAAGGCAATGTGCAAGTTAAATGTGGTAAGTAAAAATAAAAAAAAAGGTAAAGCTAATCCTGTAACAGGCCGTGAAGGCCCATAGGGTTGTGAGACGTTGAGGCTCCCACATTTTCTCTAGACAATCAGCTCACAGATGGCGGTAGGGTTGTCAGCCTTATGCACTGGCCGCCCTTTACCCCCAAGGAAGATTCCTGGCACTCATTTCTGTTAGAGGCTGAGTTGACCCCAGGGCCATAGTGCGGCTGGAAGGATTAGGTAAATTGAAAAAATCCATCCCATCAGGACTTGAACCTATGACCTTCTGGCTTGTAACATAGTGCCTCAACCAACTGTGCTACAATTAGCAGTTTCAAATAAAAATATATAATTATGAATTAATAACTTATATAATCACACTATCCATGTGTTATGAGAAAAAATGGCATTATTTCGTTTGACCGGACCAGAAATATGATTGATATTAATGGTGAAAGTTTATCCTTCGTCCCACTTACTGACTTTTCTTATTTAGATACTAGTCTCACTTTGTGCTTTAAAGCACAACAGTCATTTTTTATTTTGAAAATTTATAGTGTTCGTATGTAAATTAATATTTTATTATCACTTTTAAATGTATTGTATTTTAGGATGATATCCAGCCTGAGTTCCCAGAAGTCTTCACAAAATTTATTCATACTGCAAGATTGTTATCATATCCTGCGTTGTCACAAGTGTACAGTCGTGTCACAAGCATCTGCAGCACAGGAAAGTAAGCTACAGTTCGTTTTAAAATGCATTTATGTCTTAAATAAGGAAGTATATGGTACATAGACATAATGCAAAGTTCTAAAAAAAAAATCTTTTGAAGTGTTGTGTTTTGTTCCTTATGGGGGTTAATATGTTCTCCTCACTGTTATAATTTAACAAACTTTCATGTTCTTTTGATTTCTGAAAATTACGAGGGGGTACCCAAAAGAAACCGAACTTATTTTTTTTTAAACTTATTTATTCAAATTTTAACCACAAACCTTCAATCCCCTTCAAAGTACTCTCCACTTACACTAATACACTTGTCTAGTCTTTTATTCCATTTTTCAAAACATTGTCTAAATTCATCTTTTGAGATGCTTGACAGTGCCTCCGTTGTTTTTTTCCTTCACCTCAGCAACATCAGCAAAACGCTGAAAAAAAGTTTTGATCATTTCGGGACTCTTCTTTCAAAGCACAGCATGCTTCCATGCGACCTTGTTTTTGTTCAGCAGTCAGCAGTCGTGGCATGAATTTCTCAGCCACCCTTTTCATTCCCAAATCTTCTGTCAAAATTCGCTGAACTGAGCTCCAAGTCACTCCCAACAACACCACAATTTCTTCAATGGTCCGCTGTCGATCTTCCTTGATGATTTCACGAATTTTTTCAACATTTTCATGTGTTTGGGCCATTGCAAAAACGACGATCACACAAAACAGTTGTCACTATAAACTCTGCCGAAACTAGTCCTTACCTTCTGAAGCAACGGTAGTCAGCTTATCGACTCAGGAATGTTAGCTCTATGTGCTCATAGCGGCAAAACGCGGTACTACAAAAGCTCTGGCCACAAAAAAATTAGTTCGGTTTCTTTTGGGTACCCCATCGTATAATGTTATGAGGTGATGCTCATGCTCTGTATTCATCAACTAATGTTGCTCTAGCCTGATTTCAACACTGATTTTATACCTGATATTATTTTTTTATTGCTAGTGGGGTGGGACTACGTCCCTTGTACTGCAGCCACTTCTGGCCTGGTGTACCAGCCCCAGATGATAAGTGAGGGTGATTGTGGAGCAATTGGTGGAATGAAGATTGGCAGGGGAAACCGAAGTACTCTGAGAAAACCTGCCCCAGCGCCACTTTGTCCACCACAAATCCCACTTGACCTGACCCGGGATCGAACCCAGGCCGCCACAGTGGGGAGTCAGTGACTAGCCGCTTGAGCTATGGCGAGGTCTTATAGCTGATATATCTAAGCAACGTTTATCAGCAGTTGCTTGTTAATTGGGCCTTCACAGTTTCAGAGAATTTCATGGTTCCCAAACAATTAATTTATCAGACATGTTTTACTACAAAGGAAAATAGAAAAATTAAGTCCAAGAACTTAAATTATCTTTTAGTGAGGTTTACCAACATTTATTGATTCATGTATTGAAATATTTATTCCATATTACGACAAAAGGATTTTGAAATTTATATTTTTATCTTGCTAACCTCAACAATAAACAGTTAAAGAACATTTAACATGCTTTTTAAGTGCTCCTGAATAACATGTTAAAGTTACATTGTTTTGGTAGAAGGTGGTAACAATTTTTACTTCAAATGTTGGTAACCCACACAATTTCTTCCAGGAGACATCTCTTGGATGCGCTTCCAATGCTTGGAAGCAATGCTGCCATTGCCGTGATGAAGGATGTCATCCTGAGGAATGGAGTATCTCAAGACGTTGCCCATGAGTGGCTCCTGACATTGTCATTTATACCAAGGTACCTCGTACAATGATCTAATAGAGATAAACCTTTGTGAACATATTCACTCTTATATTCCTTAGCTTGGTTTGGTCCAATGCCAAACATGTCTTGTGATTTCTACCCCAAAGAGAGAGGTAAGAGATTACTTTAAAACGTTGGTAACCACCCACAAGACTGTGTAATATCGCAACCTAGAAGACCATAATGTAAATGTTGTGTGACATCCTGATTCAATACACATAACCTCTATTTTATTTTATTTTCCTTTTTCTTTATTTTCTCATGTAGATGTTTTCTTTCCATTCATTATATAAATTCCAAGTTACTGTGGCGTGATCTCTTTATACTACAGTAGTCAAATCAGCACTGAAATTTCAACAGAATATCCCTTTCTTATGTAAGTGGTATTGATATTTTTCATGATCAGTTAATTGCCTGTGGTTCTGTATGGGTGTGAAACTTGGTCTATGACATTAAGGGAGGAACATAGACTGAGGGTGTTTGAGAACAGGGTGTTGAGGAGAATATTTGGACCAAAGAGAGATGAAGTGACAGGAGGTTGGAGAAAACTACATAATGAGGAGCTTCATAACTTGTACTCTTCTCCAAGTATAATTAGAATGATCAAGTCAAGGAGGATGAGGTGGGCAGGTCATGTAGCACAAATGGGGGATACAAGGAATGCGTATAAGATATTGGTGGGAAAGCCAGAAGGAAAGAGACCACAGGGAAGACCAAGGCATAGGTGGGTGGACAATATTAGAATGTATCTTAGAGAGATAGTATGGGATGGTGTGGATTGGGTAGATCTGGCTCAGGATAGGGACCAGTGGAGGGCTCTTGTGAACATGGTAATGAACCTTTGGTTTCCATAAAATGCTGGGAAATTCTTGAGTAGCTGCAGAATTGGTGGCTCCTCCAGAAGGGCTCAGCTCTATGAGTGAGTAAATGAGTAAGTTAAGTCTTCTTGGGTGATCAGCCGTGTAAGTGTGGAGCTGCTGTCTCCATCACCAAGGGTTAATGTGTTGAGTGTTGTGTTCGCTGTTATCTGTCCCAGCCCAAACTACAGGGGGTGAAGGGGGGGGGCAGTCTTGCCTGGAGTAGACGAAACTGTGTGCATATATTTGTGTAGCATGTGAACAAAACACTCATCACATCAAGCTCTAATGCCAGCAGAAAGAAATGCAAAAGTGGACTGCAATAATGCAGTGTTCCATATAATTGTGAAGGGAATAAGAATTGACCAATGCAGTTGAGTTTGCATTTAATTCTATTCTTAATGATGATGGTGTATTACACTCCATGATTTATTTTATCCGTCTTCTAGTGCATACATTCATCTATCCCCTCTTCTCACTCGCACTACATGTTTCGGCACAAAAGTGCCATCTTCAGGTGCTGATCCAATCCACGACAAACTAGTTCATTGCCTGCCTTGTCTATACATACTAAAATAACTAAAATATATATTTATCTTATATACTGATAAATGTTAAGTGTTAAAATATTAAAATTGTACAGGATATTTTATTCCTACGTCGTGTTTCGTTACGCGAGTCACGTTTATCATCTTCTGTTGAAGCACTCTTTCACTATCGTGTATTGTGCTCTGTGTTGCGTCTTGCTCCTGTGACTGCGTGTATTATACTGCTGGACCTGCTGGGTGTGTGTGTGTAGATGAACGTATGCACTAGAAGACGGATAAAATAAATCATGGACTTAAATCAGTGCAACAGGATGCTAAAATATAACAGTATTACACTCGCTGATTCTAATTTAATATTCCTCAGTTTAAGGCTTTCTTCTTTAACTGTATATTTCATTGATCTAAAGCCCATAATCTCAGTGTTAAATTTCTTCCATTTAAGATTTTCCCAATTTCATTGTTCTAATCCACCGTTCCACAGAGAAACCATAGACGGTAGTTTAATTGTATTAATAAATTTTGCTAAGTGTTAATGCTTTTAGACAAATGATAATTTATGACTTTTTTTCTGTAGACCTGATTTACAGACAATCAGTATAATTACACCTTTGCTGAAATGGAACAAGGCAGATGCCCAGTTCTTTCTTAGTGTTTCTGCAATTGTTCATTCATACTGCAAATGGAATTCTGAGTGTGAAACACAAACCGAAGTTGCCAACATCATCTCATTCCTCGAAAACCAAGTACAAAGTGGCTGTCAGCTTAAAGAGAGCAATCAAGCAGTTATAGAAAAGGTATGCCAGTTTCTTCTACATTTTCATAACTTTACTGTCACATTTTCTTATTCGATATACTTGATAATTACTGGATGAAAGTATTTCCTGATTGTTATAACTTTTGTACAATTAACTGTTCACATGCCTTCTTCAGATTTTTCTCTTCGTACATTTTTAGGTAAATCATTACAATTTAAGAGCACGGTCATGTTATGCCAAACCTTGGAATATTACTGCCATACTTATGGCATACATATGACAGAGAAATAGTAGATCTATACATATTTTTCTTATTTCAAATATGGGTGGTTAGCGATAGTTAAACAGTGTGTGTGCAGGATGTATGAAGTAATATGCGTTCAACGTTTCTTCACCAAAATGAAAATTTCCTAAACCTTAATACTTAAGGACTCCAAGGAAATGATTAGGAAACTTATTTTAATCTGATTTGAAGTAAATGTATTTGGTAGACATAATACAAATTGTATGTATGTATGTATATACAGTTTATTCACAGTCTTAATTGGATGTGTTTGTTTCTGTGCCAATTTTTGTCTAAAACATTTTCATGGGTGGATCGTAATCAGATAGCAATATAGAGCATTATGTCATCCTTAGAAGTTACACAATGGGAACCAAAAGCAATATACCAGAGATCTCATTGAACGCATAAGACTGTTCTTATGTAAGATTACATACTCAAATTATGATATACTTTCAAAGATGTTTTAGACAGAATGTAAGGTGCAAATGTGCAAATATGCATTTTGGTCTGATATAAGTGTAATAAATGTCAATTCTTCAATAGTTTTAATGAGCTGTGCATTGATTAACATCTTGCAGTTGAGGCTTGTTATGTATTTTCATTAGACATTATCCAGAATCCAGAATCATAAACGTGTCTTACTGCAGCCTATTCATACCTCTTTCATTGTGTTTCATTTCAGACTCTGGTAGCCATAAAAGCCCTAGGGAATATTGGAGCCGGAAAGTCAATCATAAATCCTACTTTGCAACTTTGCATAGAAGATAGACAATTGCCCATAGAAGTCAGGATTGCTGCTGTAGAGGCCCACAGGTACAGGAAACTCTTAACTTATTTTTGTCCTTTTGTGCATATGTCAACATCTAACAAAGTTCTAAAACAAAATAAACTCTATGGTTTTAGTCCACAAGCGAACTATACTGACTGAGCTACCGCCACTTGTTGGCGAAGTTAGTACCAACTTTAGTGGATAGAGGGTGTCGTGTTGTCAGTGCGACAAATCCCCATGGTCGTTAATTTTCGCTTTTATTGTGTTCTGGATCAGTTATTTACTGTATGTCACCATCTTAAAAGCAGTTTCTTCCCGATCATTACTATTCAGCTAAATACCATTGTCTCATTGCACTGTCTCACCATACACTAATGTTGCATGTTGCTAAGAAGCACAGACTCGATTGTATTGCCACTCCTTTCCTCATGACAACAGTTTTATACAAGTTATATGTCTAGAATAGTCTGGTACATATGCAAGAGAAGAAGCAGGATGAGATCTTTAAGTTGCAAGAAAGGGGGTGAAGTCAGGAACCTTTGGCAGCAATGCATGCAAACACACTGGGATGTGACTCCCCCCCACCCCAGTTTGGTCTGCATGTTTAGATTTCTTGATGATTTTTATTTGGCGGTTATAGAGACTTTTCAGTAGATTTCAGTACTCAAATAGGATCATGCATACAGTTTGCTGAAATTATGTGCTTTACTTTTATGAAATGGTATGATAAATGAGGTATGATTATGACTATTTTACAGACGACTTCCATGCGAAGATACTCGCGAATACTTCCTGAATCTTTTCCGTAATCAGTCAGTTGATTCAGAACTGCGTATTGCAGCCTACTTGGAGGTGATGAAATGCCCTACTTACACCATAGTTAAGACAATCAAACATTCACTTTTTGAAGAAGAAGTGAATCAAGGTTAGACATATTTTTCAGTTTTATTTATATAATAGGACCTACTCTTTTTAATCTGGATCTGGACCTTTGTGAGATCAGTAACTTGGCTTAAAAGTAACAAATTTTGAATTAGTGTCAGTTATGTAATTATCATGCAGTACTGGTCATTTTCTAGTCAGGATAATATTTGACATGTTTTCTCTCAGTTTTTAGAACAAAAATATAAATTTGTGACAATAAATATTATAACACTTATGTTTTCCCACCAGTAAGAAGCACACAAGAGTTGGATGTAACATTGACAAGAACCAACAAAGTATTCATATGTAGTTTCTTTTTTAGATCAGTGAGAGACATATCTTGGCTGTGGTCATTGCACCCAGCACAAGTGACCCACTCAACTTGACCTAGTTTCTTCTTTGTCTCGAAAATTTTTTTCTCACATTATATGATACATATTTTCTTTCGTAAACACCGGCATGGTAGTTGAAAGAAATACCATGCGGTGAACACTATCAAATTCAAGAAAATTAAGTCATTGAAACAAAATTGCAATTAGTAAATAAAGGTGGGGAAAGGCTGTACATCTTATAAATCTTTATGTCCAAAATATTATATTTACATGATTATTATTACTTATTACCTTTTTGTTGACTTTAAATTAATTATTTCTATGCAACCAGTTATAGTCCTCTTTTTATTTATTTATTTATCTATTTACACTCACACTTATTGTTAAATAATAATTTTTTTCCTCCATGTGGATGGGTAATGACAAACTTTTAGATATCTTTCATATTTATTAAATTGAATTATGTAATAAAGGAACATATGTTAGTTTTCAGAATGAATGGAAAATAATATACATTTCATAAAAAAGAAAAACTTATTCCTTTCATGTATGTTCAGTAACTTTTCAGTGTATGATATCATGTCAGTGCACAGAATGGCAGTCTGTTTCGATTTGCAGTTGGGTCCTTTGTGTGGAGTCATCTTCACAACTTGCTGAAATCGTCCAGTCCCAGCAAAGTGGAAATACAAGCACTGCTACAAGATAAAGACCTTGTTAGTAAATTCAGTAGTGATGTGAGAAAATATTCTCATAACTATGAAGGATCCATGTTTTTTGAAAATTATAATTTTGGTAGGTATGTTTGAGTGTTGCCTGTATTTATATACATTTATGGTAAATTAAAATTCTTTGAATTTAAAGAGTGTGTGTATTTATTAAAGGATATTTAATCCAGAACATAAGTTATTTTCTTACACTGTAGAACATAAAATAGTAGTAACAGGATTTTGGATAGCAAGTCATTAGCACATAATTTTATATGTCATCATCTCTAATTATTTTAGCTCTTAATTTTGCATTGTAAAAGATTGTCATTTTTAGTTTGTTGGGGGGATAACGTGTTTATATTAATATCTTAGAACAATTTGAATTATAGAATCTGCTATGCCCTTCTCTTTTCTTGTACTATATAAGTTCCTTTCTTATTTATTTCAATTATCCATTATACATACCTTCTTTTCAGGGGGGAGCTATGAAAGCAATGTCATATTTTCACCAAAGTCATACTTGCCACGATCAGCAACATTCAATGTCACTGTTGATTTGTTTGGAGAATCAGTAAATATTTTTGAGGTAAGCAATTTGTTATGTCTTTTTTTTTTTTCAGAATATGTTAGTTATGTGTATATGACACCTCATCTGATGGGATCTGGTATTTCCCCAGGCTTTCAAGCTATATATTGTATTGGAACTACTGAGCTTTTGGACTTTCTCCATCATCCTGTATTCTAATCAACACAATATTTAAGAAACTCAGTGTTGTTCTGTCTTCAGGTGAAAGGGTGGAATGTGCTTGCTCTATTGTGACTCTAAAAAATAGCCAACCTCAATTACTGAACCAGTGGTCTAGTGTACTGGAATGATCTCATCCAGTGATTGAGGTTGACTCTTTCTAATGAACCCGTCAGAGTATGTGCCTCCTCCCTTTCATCTGAGGATGGAAAGAGATACGGCTTCTGAAATGTGGTGGTGTTTATAATACCCAACAAATAACAAAGAACAAAACTCAGTAATCACGAATGTTGTACACCATTGCCAGAACTCTTTAGAATTTTCTAGATGTTAATAACACATAAAGATCATACATTAAGGATTATGCAGTGTGGTTCAAATCACAGGTTGCTGGATAGGGATGCGCCTGTTTGTTAAAAATCAGTAAAACTTAGAGATGTCAATGTTGCATTTTTATATAAAATTCTTTCTTTAACAAGCTGTTCAGAGCCTAAATAATAATAAAGGCAAAGCACATAATATGTACGTGAGCACAGGTTTTGTATGGATAGTTTTGTGGAAAAGTTATCATTTAGAAGAGTGAACAGTGAAGTGAGGGTAATTCTAAAATGGATATTAAGGATACAGCTGTGGTACATGGACTGAAATGCAGGGCAAAATCATAGCATGAAGATGGCATGAAAGAGTAGCACAGTTCAAATAACTGGGAATGACAGTAACAAATAAAAACTTGATTTATGAGTAGATTAAGAGGAGATTGAATTCAGGTAATGTTTGCTATAATTCAGTCCAGAAACTTCTCGTCTGCTATCTAAACACATAAAAATTAGAATATACAAAATTATAGCTTTTCCTGTAGTTCTATATGGGTGCAAAACTTGGTCTCTGACATTAAGAGAGGAACATAGACAGAGGGTGCTTGAGAACAGGGTGTTGAGGTGAATATTTGGACCAAAGAGAGATGAAGTGATGGGAGATTGGAGAAAACTGCATAATTAGGAGCTTCATAACTTGTACTGTTCTCGAACATATACTCATTAATTATGTTTGTAATAAATAATAAAGAAATATTTAATATAAATAGGGATTGCTATGGAAAAGATACTAGACAAAATATGAATATACATATGTACCAGGTCAATTTGGCGAAATATAGGAATGGGGTTTATCACATGGCTGCAAGGATTTATAATGGACTTCCAAATACAATCAAAATAATCTCAAATAATGCAAATAAGTTTAAAGCCAGTTTAAAAGAGTTTTTATTTGTGAACTCCTTTTATACAGTGGAGGAATATTTTAATAGATGACAATGGCAACATTATGCTAAGGGTAATTTATATATTTAACTTTTTAATTTGATTTATATTACAAACATATTGACAACTGCTTATAAGCAAGTTGAGTTTATACTACTGGACGATTTCTATATCTGTTTGTTGTGTAACTGTGTAAGGATTTTATGGAATGTGAATAAATGAATGAATGAATGAATGAATAATGAGAATGATCAAGTCAAGGAGAATGAGTTGGGCAGGACATGTAGCATGAGTGGGGGAGAAGAAGAATGCACATAGGAAATTTGTGGGAAAGCCAGAAGAAAAGAGACAACTAGGGAGACCATAGCGTAGGTGTGTGAATAATATTAAAATAGATTTTAGAGCGATAATTAGGGTTGTTGTGGACTGGATCGATCTGGCTCAGGATAGGGACCAGTGGAGGGCTCTTGTGAATACGATAATGAACCTTCGGGTTCCATAAAATGCTGGGAAGTTCTTGAGTAGCTACACAATTGGCGACTTCTCAAGAAGATCTCAGCTCCATGAAGTTAGTTAATTGGATAGTATGGGCAACCTGCATATATGTTTCCATATATTTTATTAACATTAATTACTTCTAAAATTATTTTCTATAGTAGATCTTTTAACCATGAATGTTGTATATTGTAGTAAAAATTTAATGATGCTTCAGAGTTTGAATTCTAGTTTAGCCAGGTACTAGCACAGAAACTGTAATCAATAGATGGGTTTAAATATTCACATTTTGTTGCACATCAATTCTTTTCAATATTGTACAGCCAAATATTTAAGTATTCTTACTGCACAAATATACATGGTGCAAGTATATTTATGATAAGCTATGCATTTTCAAGTCTTGTTAATTATTCTCTGATTTAGAATATTCAGAAATATTTCAATCATGAACTTTATTTTGAAGGTAGCTGGTCGCATTGAAGGTTTTGAGCACTATGTTGAGTCCATTTTTGGGGCAAAAGGTCCATTTAGCAGTACTAAAGTGAAGGATGGACTTGAGAAACTTCGGTTCTTACGGAGCATACCGGATGATTTGAAGTCTAAAGTAGACGCTTTTCCAAATGTTGTGGATACAAATTTTGACAATCCAAAAGTAAGTAAAAAGACAGTCATAAGTATTTTTCATGAAATTAAGTGCCTATCTGTATGATAAATGATATAATGATACAAATTCCGTCCCAAGTGCAAACAATATATTATGTGTCCTTGATCTTGTTCACCCACACTACATGTTTCGGCCACAGACGGCCATCATCAGGTGTATCTATCTGTATATTTCAGTGATTCATTCTGGTGCTTAAAGAACTTTCCTTATCCTGGTCCAGTACACTAGCAGTCTTTTATCTTTGACATGTTTCGGTTGGAGCACCATCGCTATAGTTGTTAAAAGCTAAGATTTTATATTCATGACATTGTAATGGTATTGTACCATGTATGTATATGCTGATAATGACCAATCACACTGTAATAGTAGTTTCCATATGTATTGACAATGTCCTTCTGAAGATGGTCACTGTGACCAAAACATGTCAAGGATGAAAGATTAAAATGGAGAAAGAACATTTATCAGTCACGTTGGATGGAGTTGATAATCTTATATTTATTATCCTCTTGACAGATTCTATACAGAGACTTAATCAAATAAATATAGAACTTTGTAAGAAAGTCTGGATGAAATTAAAACTGTAATTCTATTGCGCCTGATACTGCATTTTACTAGGTTGTAACTGCAATCTGTTATTCTTTTCAGGCATCTGTTGCAATGAAAATATTTGGAAATGAATTAAGATACTACAAATTCTCTGGTGATGAAGAAATAATGGCTGCATTGAATTCTATTAATCCAATAAAAAATATAAAACAGCTATTGTCAGGAAAGGTAATAAATAAATAATACATCTAGTTTGAACGTTTTGAAACCTCCACCAGAGTTTGTATACAGTAAATATAATGCCTGTAATTATGGCATTAGTTAACATGAAGTTTTCTTCCATCATACAGAATACTTTCAATGGAGGTTTGTTGCATAAAGTTTAAAGTTCATTTCATTACTGACTTTTATAAATCATATGTGCAGTATATATAAATATTATGGTATTAGGAACTTCATGCAACCACTCTATTTTATGGTTACCGTGATATATAATGTAATATCAAAATCATAATATGACATTTATAAATTTCATTTTAAAAATCTATTTTATCAGTTGACCAGTGGTTGCTTTGCACTATGCACTGACTTTATGCTCACAGATTTATCGGTATTTTATGTGTACCACCACCACCTGCAATTAATATAAAGCAGTGAAATATTTAACAGAGTCAGGTATCTGATGTAATAAGATTGCATGTACACAGTGTGTCCAGGATCTGTTAGGATTCAGTTTTTTGTTTGTTTTTTTTTTTTGCCCTGCAATGCCATCTGTTGGTGAGTTGTGACGTTAAGATTCTTGAAGTTTCAGCTGTGGCCATCTATAATTTCAAAGTGCAAGCACTGTTGCATCATGTGTTATGACCTCGAATGTAACAGTACTGTTTTGACGCTTGTCGGAAAATGGCGGTTGAACAGAGAACCAACATCAAATTTTGTTTGAAGGTAGGCCAAACAGCTAGAGAACCATACGAAATTATGAAAAGTGTGTACAGTAGTGATTGTTTGAGTCGCTCAAACATTTTCCGATGGTAAGCTGTATTTCATGACGGCAGGGAGGACATTGAAGACGCTCCACATGCATCAAAGCCAAGAACAAGTCACACTGAAGAATATGTGAAAAAAGTACCAAGATCCTTGCATCAGACAGATGTGTTTCTGCAAGACTCATCGAGGAGCTTTTGGGAATACCAAAAAAGTACTGTGCATCAAATTTCGACCGAGGATTTGGGAAAGCGGAAGGTCTGTGCGCGGTTTGTACCGCACGTGCTGTCAGACAATGAAAAACATGCCAGAGTGGAACACTGCAAAGACATGTTACAGTTGGTCCAAAGTGATACAGAATTTACAAAATCGATTTTTACTGGTGACGAGGGATGGTGTTTTCAATTTGAGCCTCTCACAAAGTGGCAGAGTGCAGCATGGTTGAGCCTAAAGAAGCCAAAACCAAAGAAAGTGCGCATGCAGAGGAGTCGAGTAAAAACACTGCTAACCATTTTCTTCGATTCCAAAGGAATCATTCACATGGAATTTCTGCCAGAAGGTCAAACAGTGAAATCTGATTATTGTCTCAGAATCCTCAATTGTATCTTGGTGAGAATTCTTCGAATTTGACCTGAATATCAAGAGCCGGGTTCCTGGTCGCTCTTCCACGACAGTGTCCCACCCCACAAATCAAAGATCATGAGCGATTTTTTTGGTCAGAAAAGGGATCACAATCCTCGATCATCCTCCGTATTCACCAGATTTGGTTCCAGCAAATTTCTGGTTGTTCCCAAAAGTTGGTGATGAAAGGAGACCATCACGACACCATCCAGGACATCCAAGGAGAATGCACCGCAGTTTTAAATGTAATTCCACAACAGGAGTCCAGTGACTGTTTTTGAAAACTTTTCAATCAATTCCAGCTATGTATTTAGCCAGAAGGAGACTATTTTGAATAAAAAGAGTGAAATTTTGAAAATAATTCAAATCTTGTATTTTTAATGAACACAGTCCTAACAGAACCTGGACGCGCTGTATTTTTAATCTTTATTTTTTATAAGATATGTGCTATTTTAAATATTTTGTTCTTAAGGAAATTAACTACAACAAGGCTGCACTGTTCCTGGACACAAGCTACACTGTGCCAACTGCAACAGGACTTCCAATCAGTTTAAGTGCTGTGGGAACAGCTGCCGTCAACTTACAAATGTCAGGGTCACTTAAAGCCGCTGACTTTCTGAAGACACATGAGCTGGATGTTGAAGGAAAAATAAGGCCAAGGTGTAACCTAGTTGTATTGTTGTTTATTTGAGTATATTCTGCTATTTTTATATATGAATACCCTGATAGATATGACGTAAATATGCTTTATTTGATAAGTGTGAACATCTTATTTTCTTATAAAAGCTTAATCAACTCCATCGAGTGTGACTGATAAAATGTTCTTTTTTCCTTCTTTCGTTTTTAATTTTTCTTCCTTGACATGTTTCGGTCATAGAGACCATCTTCAGAAGGATATATCAGTACAGGCAGAAACTGATATTAGGGGGCCCATACACGTATGAGTCTGGCTGGCGAGTCCGACTCAGCCCAGGTTCCAATGAGCAAAACGTTTCCATGTGTGGGTCGCCATGCTCATACGTGTGTGGTGAAATTAATCCGAGCCCAGCTCCTTGCCGAGCCAGACTCGCGAGCCAGACTCANTTAATCCGAGCCCGGCTCCTCGCCAAGCTGGACTCGCGAGCCAGACTCGTACATGTATGGGCCGCCTTACAGTGTGTTTGGTCAATATCAATACATACACAAGAAAACACAATGTCATGAATACAAAACTTGATCCTCTAACAACTAAAGCAGCTTGCATCAGTACAGTAAAATATTTATAAATTATTACAATTAATCTGTGTACAATGTGGTTTACAAATATTTTGTTTAAAATTTTGTTAAAAAAAATTTTATCAGTCACACTGGACAGAGTCGATTAACCTTTTATAATAATTGCTGGTGTGACAGACCAGGATGAACCAAATCAAGCTTATTTTCTGTTCTGCTGATTTCAGTGTGGCTATAGATATTGTTGGAACAATGGGTGTTGATGCCTATTATGCAAGTACTGGCATCAAACTGCGAACCAATATGTACTCATCCTCGGCTGTGGAGGGTCAGCTGAAAGTTCGAGGCACGAAACTTGTGAGCCTGAATTTTAATCTTCCAAAGGACAAAATTGAAATAATCAATGCACGGTCAGTAATGAGATAAAAACTTTCAATGAAGTATTTTGTCTGCTATCTTCCTTTCCACTTTTTGTCTATAGGTGACTTCCACCTTCATGTTTTGGGTCTGCCCAGTGAAGTAATGTCTTCAATTGTTACATGTTCAATCTCATTTCTGAAAGGAAAATAAGTTATATAGGGCAGTACATGCTCTGTATATGAGTTACTCCCCAACATTATTGGAACCAGTTGCCCAGGTTTAGTGAAGCATGATGGGAAGTTCATATCATTGGAGTTCAGATGGATGCCATGTTCCATATAACCCCATCTTCAGTGTTAATGACATGGAAATGCAAGAAAGTCGGTAGTTTGGAGCCACAGTAGTACTGGTCATTACTGGATCCTCAGATTTGATATTAATTTTGATGGGTTGAATAAAGAGAACTCAAGAAAATTGTCCATGAAAATATTAGAAGTAGCAGAATGTTAACCATCAAGAGTACACAGTTACTTTTTGCCACAGGATGTAGAACATGTCAAAGATAATTATAAAAGAAAAA